ACCCCCTTCCTTGGGGAGGGAGCGTTGCGTGACGAGCCCAAACAACGGCTGCGAAGGCGACAACCTGCCACCGACCTGCGAAAAAATTAAGAGTAGTTCAGTTCTCATGAATCAATTGAGTTCATAGGGAGATTTCGCGCGCGGCTGCCATATCTCATCCTGTACTTCTTGAACTGGACTGGATCTGAACCAGGAGAACGCGGAACATTAAACCCTAGATTAGTTAAATGTACTGTTTAGTGAAACACTGACTAATGTTATGAAAGGCGGGCTGGTAAAACGGAAATAACACAAAACGCAGACCAGTACAACGTAGGCTCGCCTTCTGTATTCAATCCTTCGAGGATTCATTTCCTGAGTAGCTGTTGGTAATCGATGAGGGGACAAAGAGGAAAGCTTCTGCCTTGAAAATCAATTTTTCTCAGTTATTTAAAGATTGTTTCTCCTACGGAAGTCTGTTCCAGAGACGTCCACGTGCGGGCCAATGAACTAATGTTTTTTAGTTAAAACATAACAATGGCGGGTAGCTTATAGATTGCTTTTGTCGACTGAAGATATTTTGAAGAGAACGGAAATGGTATTTCTTGAGTGACAATTAACCCAGTGTGCACCCTGTGACATATCGCATCTTACACTTTAATTGTCTTTCTGCACATGTTCCTTCATTTTCTCTCGGCATTTACATCTTTTGATAAATAAAAGGTGGGATGCTGTGTGACGATGGAACGTCTGTCTACTTTCTGTAGATTTTAGACTTAAAGCGATCGTGCGCAGCGGTTTCCACTCAGCCCGTTCCACCTTTCCTCGACCATTTTACTTTCACTTCACTTTTCGCGTTGCAAGAATGCGAAAAAGCTCTTAATTTGTGTAATATTAATGGCGTGTCACGAAGGCTATCCGAAGCGTTGAGCCGCAGAGGCGCGAGAACGAGGTACGAGCGGCGGAACCGCGAGAGAAATGGGAAGAGAAATGAGAGAAATAAGATCCACTCTACGTTTTCACAGCAACGCCCAAGATATCGAAAGCGCCGACCAAGCAAGCGAATAACTGAAATCAGGAATTAAACACGACTTCGTGCAATCTGAGCTCCCTTAAAACGTCCTTACCAATCATTCTAGGACTTGTAATGTCATTTTATTTGTCAATGGTCAATCGAACGTAAGTTAGCTAAACCCATTTGTCCTCAGAGTAAACTGTGTTTATCTTCATTCGCACTGACGAAGGGCTAACGCTCGAAACGTCAGCTTTTTAACTCTTTACGGTGGCCAATTTACAATTTCAACTTAGTTGATATAACCAAATTACCTTGTAACCCCCACTGACCCAGCCCCACATTTTCTTTAGAAAGTTTCACCCTTCATTCATTTATCTTCCTTAGGTTTACCAGGTGAAATATTGGCCGGAAGCGTGGCAGGTGGATTGACAGTTCTGATTTTAATTGGTTTACTTTTGTTGGCGGTGATTTTAAAACGGTGAGGAATAACTCCTGTTTTGCTACTTATTATTCTTGTTCCTGTTTTCCTCGGGGCCGGTGAGTTCTGCTGTTTGTCCTCCTCCGACTGAGCTGAGGTACTTATTCCAAGGACTCTGCTACACCATTTTTCGTAGAAAGAACGTTATAACTACGGCAGCAACTTTTTTTATATTACTGTTTGATATGGAGACTTTCCTTCGCATTTTCAGTGAATGAGGGATTTCAAGGGTGGGGAGAGGGGGATCTCCGCGATCTTTTCCCAGGAAAGATCAAAGAGGACCTTGTCCCGGTCCAAAGGGTAATAGGCGATGACTTCACTCTAAAACCTGACTATCTCAATCTTCGTTACCCCGGATACACGCTGTTCTTGGACATGCTTCCACTCTCATCGACTCCCGGCTGTGTCTTAATTCTGCCTCTTCACCCTTTTCTAGACTACGAGGATTCCCTCGTTTGTGGCGAAGTCCTTTGCACGATTAAAAAAAATCAGCGAAAGAAAATAATTAATGTTAGCGCGGAGCGTGGGACTTTGAGAGTGACGCCGACTTTAATATTCCATAGTTCCGCGCGGTGCACCAACATAATTTTTTGTTTTCGCTGATTTTTTTTATGACACGCGAGATGGACTTCGCCTCAAAGGAGGACTGCTTGTAGTCTGCTCTTTTTTCCAAAGTAATTTATTTTCCAAACTGACCATCTATCGCTAACATATACTTTCAGTCGAAAAGCTGGCGGATTAGTCGTTGCCCAAAGTAACACAGAAGCCTCTTTCGACAATCTTGGATTCAACGGTGGCCGGAAAATTTCCGAGTATATGGATCTGAGCGAGCTGGAATTAGTCAGAGTCAGAATAACCAACACTGTGAAGAGAAAGATGTCTGCTTTCACCAAAGACAATCAGAAAACTAGTCGAGTGTCCTGTGGTCGGTTGGACCTGGTTGAGGTCCCTGTGAACTCAAACATTGATGATGATATACTTTTGACAGCTTGGGTGTAGCAGACAAAGTAGTTTTTGAGGAAGTAAACATTAAATATAGAATCTTTTGCGCGTAAAATTGCTTTATTAGCTTTCTAGAGCAAAGATGAATGACCACAACGGTTTCTGTTTCCTTGGTTCTGTAATTTAGAGCTAAAATAAAAACAGGAAGGCCGCTCAACAACATCCCTCCCATTCTCTTTTTTTCTTCGCATCGAGTCGCGTGGACGCGAATGCGAGGCCAAGGCCAGATCGCGTGCGAGAGAAGGAGCGCAGAAAAATATTTTCGCGCGACTCATTCCTCGCGCTCGTATCGCGTTCTCCCGAGAAAGTAAAGGAAGGCCTTGTTGTGCTTGCTGCGCAAACTGCATGAAGCAAAACTGCGAAAATTTGGATCGGAGTAATAATAATTGTGCGAAAAAGTATCAAATAGTGAAATATCAAGACGACAAGCAGAGGCTTTTTCTTGGTGTTTTCTTTAGAAGCTACCAAACCGCCACAAATTGAACATAACCTCGTTGACTTATGGCTTAATCGAGAAAAATTTTTGTAAGCAAGCTTGTTTCAAATAAATAGGTTAAGTTATAGGGTTTAACACTGATCTCTTTTGAGAATCTCCTTTAGGTTCACCAACGATTAAGCTATGTTCCTGTTTGCAAAAGTTGCCAAATATTTCTCTGCCCTTTAACAGTAAAATCCTTAGAGTTGCCTATTAAATTATGTCTTTAGACAGTACCATATGTGTATCTTTTGAAAAAATTCAAATCTCACAATAAAAAAAAAATGGTACCAAGCTTTGTCCAATTGAAATTTCCTGCTTTCTGGAGTTGAATAAAATTTTACACTACTGGGACTGTTTGAGCAACTCATTAGAGCATGACTGGCCTATTGTTACCTTGGAAACCATAACAACAACAACAACAACAACAAGCCTTTATTTCATCTCGAATTTAAAATAGCAAAAATAACATGCTAATATCTCCAAGAAAATAAATAAATAAATAAAATGAATTAATTGAATTAGATGAATTAGATAAATACATAAGACACAATATATGCAATTAAGTAATTGATACAATAGGATAAACATTTAAACTATTTACAGAATGGACAGCAGTCAGTATCAAATTCAAAATTACGAACAGCCAATTTAAAAGCTCCAACTGTTGGCCTGGTTGTGTTGTGTTGGGTTGGGAAGGGAGTTCCATAGTTTGCTACCATAGTGAGATAAAGAGTGCAGGCCACATGTAGTTGACAGGAGGGATAAAAAGAGAATGTACACCACTAGTACGTAGATTGATGCTGTGGGTTTTTGGACTAAACATATTGGTAATATATTCCGGTGCCAGCCCAATAAGAGATTTGTATACTAATGTAAAGATAAAATGTACACGCCCATTAAATAGTGATGGTTGTCCCGCATGATCAAGTAGTTGCATATAATCACTGTCATTATCATTAAAAACAAATCATAGGCTACATTCATTAATTTTCTCCAACTTCTTTAAATTACATTGACCACAATGGTGCCACACGACAGAGCAGTAATATAAATGTGGCAAAAGATAGGCATTGTATAATTTGGTCTTGGTGTGAGTGTCACTTAGTTTCTCATGCCTTTGCATGACCTGTATCTGATACATGTCCGCAACATGCTCAGTGAAATTGAGATCGTTATCAATAGTAACACCCAGCAATTTCATGCTGTGGACTAAACTAACCACACTACCACCAAGATCATAGGTAGGTATATCCCTGGTATCACCACGACCAGATCACACAATGGTCCCAGAATTCCTTGCATTGGAAACGATCCCTGTCCCTCTCCAAACAAATATGAAATTTTACCATAGCAACAACAGTCTGCAAGCTTACAAACCTACAAGTACACACATTTTGCTTTAAAAATCCTCATCTACAGATCTAGCTTTCTTTGGTTTGGTAAGTTTCTGCAACATCTCATCACCTACACTGGATGTAAACTTCTGTGCAACACTATCAAGTCCACTGGACATGGCCAGATCGTAAGCTGTCTGTCCGGCATCATTTGCAATGTTAGTTCGGGCGCTTAGTCCTAACAGGGTGTCAATACACTTAAGTCCATTTGCACCAAGAAGCACTGCTTCATGTAAGGCAGTATTTCCTTTGGTGATGCCCTTGACATTGATTTTAGCACCAGCATTCACTAATGGTGGTATACTTTCAGCGTGCTTATTCATAGTCGCAAGAATTATAGCAGGAATGCCATCAGAGGATTCACATTCTGGATTTGCCCCCTCGTCAAGAAGTCTTTTCACTTCCTCATCTCTCCCTTCACCCTTTGCACCAATCTCTTTCAGTAGCAACTTGTCCTGTTCACTTGGTTTAGCTTTGTTATTTTCTTTCCCTTTCCGTTTTTGCTTCTTTCCCTTAGCTGTTGTTCTCAAACCATTTTGAGTCTGTTTCCTGCTCCCTCTCAAATCCTCCCTACTCCCTGATTCTGACCTGTACAGATTCAAAGCTCTTAAGCTTGAAGACAGAGCTCTGGATTTCTCTTTCCACAACTCTTTACCATCTCTCCTGGCAAAGGTCACAGTCAATGTGACCTCCTCCCCATTGAGATCTTCATGAATGGTTGCTGAAATAATCTTCCCCAACCGTGGTTCACCTATGGTGGCTCTAAAATCCGGATTATTCTGTGTATGTGCTCGGATGTGTGAACACACATGGTCCATTTGTTGCCGCCAGAATCCTTTCCCAGGACTAACAGCAGCAAGAGCTGGTCTTCGGTCTCTTGAGGCATCAAGGCGACTTCGTTCCAGGGCATCTGACTCCATTTGTGATTGGATGCTAGTTGCTGATTTGTAGAAGAGACCAACAGTAGAAGTTGCTGATGAGAAGAATTAGATAGGTGTTCAACCAAGATAACAACTTCTACCTGATAAGTTTGAATATTCTCCTTACTTGTTTACTGAAGGATGTATGGATATTATAGGGAGAAGTTACATGTCAATCACTTCTAAGAGTTAAAAGGGTTGATTCTCACTATGCCTCTCTACTCAGGAATATAACTGGGTACGTAGCTCCATTTTCTGCCTTTAAAAGCACACACAACCCACAGTTCCTCTAATCGCTCCGACGAAGGGCTAACGCTCGAAATGTCAGCTTTTGTAATCGTTATGGTGGCCAATTTACCATTTCAACTTTGTTGATATATCCAAATTATTTCGTTACCCCCACCGACGCAGCCCCAAACAGTTTCTTTGGAAACTATCAGCCTTTATTCATGGGTACCAGTGAATCTACAGAAATATCAGCAACTACAGATCATGTAATATTATTTCAGATGAAAAATCGTTCTTACCTTTATCTGCTTTTTCTGCTGGAGTTGAAGGGATAGAAACTGGCAACCAAGTTGTATTTTCTGACCTTCCTACTGTTTCACGAATGCTACGCTTTTCAACAACAGTGCCAATCACATTTCCGGGACTCTGACGTGAAACTCTTGGGGGTGGTTCAATACTGCATCCACAGGTATTACAAAACCTAGCAAAGGCATTATTTGAAGCCTGACATTGGGAACAGATCAGAGGACTTTGGTAAGGCTGTGGCTTTGATCCACACCAGTCACAGAAACGAGCATCACTGCTGTTCACTCGAGAACACTTGGAGCAAGACATGAAGCTGCTAACAGAGTCCTTTGGCATTGGAGGAGCACTTGTAGCTGTAAATATTTGTTTTGCATTGTATGGAAGTTTTGCTTCACAGGTGACACAAACTGTCATGTCAGGTGGGTTTCCTGTGCCACATACTGCACACATTAACTTATGTGCCAATTTCTTGGTGGCCTGTGGTTGACGCTGAGGTGAAATGGGTGCTTCACAGATGATGCAGTTCGGTGTGTTTAGTGGTACCATTGAGTTACAAGAGACACACATACCAAGCTGCCCACCCTCAGGAGGGGGGAGCCTTGATGAAGGTAGGGGAGGAATAGGTGATCCACATTCAGAACAGAACCTTGCATATGGGTCTGATGGCCTGGGTGCCATACAGTAGATACATTTCAGAAAATCAGTCTGTTGTTGAATCTTACTTGCATGAATTCTGTTCTGTGGCCCTCTTTTCTCCTTCAGTTCACCATCAACTTCTGCAAGAGATTGATCTGGAGTACCTAATGTTGCTTGATTTGAACCAAACCTTGATGTTGTAAATCTTGCTTCACTCCTGGGTTTTCTGTAATCTGACCCTCTAACATTTTCTAAGTCATCTGGAGTTGATGTAAGAAATCGCTTTGATTTAGTCTCAGTCCCCCACGCTTCAGAAGTCTTAAGTTTGGATCCTCCTCTGGCATTCTCAAGAATTTGACCGAACAAAGTTCCTGACGAATCCCTTAAATTTCCAGTCGACGAGGAAATGCTTTGCTGAAGCTCAGAGACATTGCCTTCACCATCTAAACCTTCTCTTTCTTCTGGTTCTTCAACCATGAATGTCTTGGTTACTATGGAGCTCTCTCTTGTACCATCACTCGAGGTTGCCATCGCTTTCACGGTCCGCTTTCCAGGACCCAAAACAAATGGTCTGTTATATTTATAGGTGCATTTGATGCCTATTTGTTTAAATGGTTCGGGTTTCATCCCGTTGATCGTGTAATATATCAGAGTGTCTGGTGTCTCTGAACGAAGCTCGATGGGAGTGTGGGTGTCTATAAGGTTTTTTCTTCCTCCCACTGGAAGCCTTAACGGCATAATACTGGGAACTCTGATCATTCCCGCTGTCATTTTTGAATGTTTTTCGACGCCAGTCAAACTGTTCTTCTATAGATTTCCTTCTTGATTTTGTACCAGATATGACTACAAGTCTCAGTTAAACTTATCTGCGAGATCTGGACCAAATGTTTCTTTCTAAAGAGATTTCAAGGTCCCTTCAAGTGATAGCGTTCAAAAATACTTGTTTGTCCTTTTGGCCGCCATTTTTCAAGCTATCCCACAATGCTCGTCGCGATGGACATGATACATAGCTTTCATTTCTATAGCAACAGGGATCAATGATCATACGGCCATGTTGAATAGAAGTTGTTGTGAAATTGTTGAAAAAGTTTTCTTATCATAGGATAAACAACGCCGATGTACACTTGAAATGGTGAAAAAAGGATTGTTTAACAAGTTTAAGCTATGGAGAGGTTTTAAAAGAGGCTGACAGAAAGGCAAAAAGGCTTGTAGCAAACAAAATTATTTTGATTGACAAAGTCTCTAGGGGCTCTTCGTCAAAGTTGAATGAGCGAAATTGAACTTAAAATGTCTTCTTCTGCCAGAAATAGTTATAGTCCAGCGATGGATAAAGCATGGTTTCACGATACAAAGACTGGCTGCGAAAAACAAGCGCATTATTTTGTGCAGATACGCAAACTTCAAGATGAATTGATCCACCGCGAACAACACAACTTGATCAACGCGATGGAACGTTTGAAACAACTGACTTACCCTCGCAAACGGCCTGTGATTCGAAACTTCGACATTGATGCATTATCGAATCCTGCATCTATTCGAAAATTTCCCGCGAGAAACTTAAACTTGAGGAAGGAGGCCAAGCACAGATCTGTACAAGCAAAAGAACAGCCAGATCTGAACCCTGTTTCTGGGAAGCCACTGATCAAGAAAACAGACATCAAGAAACCTGATGGCTCGGCTTATCGTCATTTCTTTGCAATGCCACCACTCCTCAATGACAGAGACATAGCAAAGATTGTACATAATGCGAACAATGCTTTTCCTTCTGAACCTTCGACTTACTTGCTTCAACCGCATTTACCATCTATTCCCAATGTAGGACGAAAAACAGCCTTCGTGGCTGACAATAGGATGAAACTTCTGACTCTAGCCGAATCAGAGTTTTGTGAAGACGGGGAGGGTAGCGTCATTGCAATGAGGAAACATCTGCATACAAGAAAATCACAAAGAAGGAAAAAAAGTTCAAAATCCACACCACATGTTAGTGATAATGTTCCCATTGAAAACACAACAAAGAGAGGAAATGTTTTGTGTTTTGACGTTGACCCAAATGATACCAGTCTATTTTCTCACTGTCTTGAAGAGAAGAAAGAAGAAGAAGAGGCATTTGAAACCACTCCTCTGCCTCCACCAAACTCAAGGCCAATTACATCAAAATCAAAAGTAAGTTATGTTTTGAAAAGTGAACGAGCAAAGAGAGTTAACAAAGCTGACACTTTGAAGAGTGACTTAGAGGTAGTTTGTCATGAAGATTCAAAAAGTCAAGATGCTGTGGAAGGATTAGCAAGTGCAAACAATGAAGTTCTGGTCAAAATGCCTGATGTGGTTATAGAATCATGATACTAATGAATCTGATACGAAAAATTCAGAGGCCAAGGACCTACTGTACAATCAGATTTAGTTGGAAATGGCTCTGATGAAGTTATCAATATTGTACAGCCTGTTGTAACAATCACTAATCAACCTGTACCAGCTGACAATAACAAGACAGAGGAAGGACTCTGACAGGATCAAAGGGTTCTTCTCATTTTCTTACAACATATTTTGTTTGTAAATTGTTTTAAAACAGTCACATCCCGGGAGTCATTCTTTAACCATGAAACTTCCTTTCACTACATGAAGTTAGTATTTAATTGACAAGTGAAACTGTACGCTGCTCCAGAACAGACAAACTCATTTCAGCTAGTGGGTGTCATCAAAATAAATTACCTTTCACTCCTTAACTCTGAGGGGTGATGAAAACAGAATTTCTCCTTATAATTCCAATACAGTTTCAAGCAGAAGGGTGTTGAGAAGATAGAAACATATCAATTAGCAGATATAATTAATTTAAATTTAATTTAATTTATTAGATTTGCCAAGAGACAGGGACACCGCAACAGCTTGCGCCAATTACAGCTGGCCCAGAAAACCCACCCATCCCACCCCAGGGGAG